AGAGTCACTCACACAGAGACCCATATACTCACTCACACAGAGACCCGTAAACTCGCTCGTACGGAGACACATTGACTCGCTTGCAAAGAGACCCATAGACTCGCTCGTAAAGAGACCCATTGACTCACACAGAGACTCATAGACTTGTTCACACAGAGACCCATATACTCACTCACACAGAGACCCATAGACTCATCGCATAGAGATCCATAGACTCGTTCACATAGAGACCCGTAGACTCGCTCGCACAGAGACCTGTAAACTCGCTCTCACACAGAGACCCATAGACTCACTCACACGGAGACCCATAAACTCGCTCGCACAGAGCACCCATGGACTCGCTCGCACAGAGACCCATAGACTCGCTCGCATAGAGACCCGTAAATTCACTCACACAGAGACCCATAGACTTGTTCACACAGAGACCCGTAGACTCGCTCGCACAGAGACCCGTAGACTCGCTCAGATAGAGACCCATAGACTCGCTCGCACAGAGACCCGTAGACTCGCTCGTACAGAGACCCATAGACTCGCTCGCAAAGAGACCCGTATACTCGCTCGCACAGATACTCATAGAGTCACTCATACAGAGACCCGTAGATTCGCTCGCACAGAGACCCGTAGACTCGCTCGCACAGAGATACGTAGCCTCGCTCGCATAGAGACCAGTAGACTCGCTCACAGAGAGACCCATAGGCTTGCATAGAGACCCATAAAGTTTGAGATCTATAGATTCACACAGAAAGCCCATAGACTCGCTCACATAGAGACCCATTGACTCACATAGAGACAACATTGACTCACATAAAGACCCGTCGACTCAGAGATCTATAGATTCACACTGAGACGCATAGACTCAAATAGAAACCCGTCGCCACAAATAAGGACCCATATACTCACATAGAGACCAATATACTCAGAGATGTACAGCGTCGCCCATTGACTCGCACAGAGACCCATAGATATACACAGAGACCCATAGACTCCCACGGAGACCCATAGATGAAAACTGAGACCGATAGACTCACAGACACCCGTAGACTCACGTAGAGACCCATAGACTCACAGATAGATCCATAGACTCAGAGATCTATAAATTCACACAGAGGCTCATAGACTCCCACAGAGACCCATAGATTCACACTGAGTTCTATAGATTCAGATACAAAACGATACTCACATTGAGATCTCTATACAAAGGAGGCATCGTCACAGCGAAGATTCACCTCTCCGCTCCTCCTGACGGAATTGTGTGACTTAAACTAAACTGTTTTTTTCACCAGGTAAGGCCCCACTGAGCTACATAGCTGTTTTTCAGAAGCGACCTTGCTACCGTTAAAGATAGCTCGCTGAAGTGGGCTTATCATTACGCGGGCATGTATAATCTAAACGCATGTTTCTAAATGTGGAGGGAAAAGCCAGAGAACCCGGAGAAAAATCCATGCGACCACGGGGACAGAGAGAGAGAGACACGCAAACTCCAAATATACAGCAGCAGGCGTCAGGGTCGGGATCGAACCCACGACCTCCTGTACACCAGGCGAGGTAGTTAACATCTCCTAGCCACCGGGGCACCCCCCAACCTTGCCTCGAGGGGGAGGGGGGGGATCTCTCATCATCATCACGGTGGCTAGATGTTAACTCCCTCGCCTGGTGCACAGGATGTCGTGGGTGCGATCCCATCCCTGGCGCCTGCTGCTGTATATTTGGAGTTTGCGTGTCTCTCTCTCTCATCATCATCACGGTGGCTAGGAGATGTTAACTACCTCGCCTGGTCTACAGGAGGTCGTGGGCTCGATCCCGACCCTGACGCCTGCTGCTGTATATTTGGGGTTTGCGTGTCTCTCTCTCTCATCATCATCATCACGGTGGCTAGGAGATGTTAACTACCTCGTCTGTTCTACAGGAGGTCGTGGGTTTGATCCCGACGCTGACGCCTGCTGCTGTATATTTGGAGTTTGCGTGTCTCTCTTTCTCGTTCCCCGTTATCGCGTAGATTTGTTCTGCGGGTTCTCTGTTTTCTTTTTCCACTTCCACATTCAGAATAAACATCACGCGTTTAGAGTCTTTGGCTGCTATAAAAGTGCACACGGTGATAAGCCACGTTGTTGAGTAATCATTTGCGGCTAACAGAAGAGCTACACAGCTCTCCGGAGAGTATCTCGAAAAAGTGCAACGTAGCAGCTCGTTGGGGCCTTTGCGTGGGACAATAAAATCGTAAAAGCTACAGGTGGATGCGGGGAAGAGGCGTTAAAAGTAACGTAAAGCCACTGACGCAAACACCACCCACAACACACCCACCCACCCACCACCCACCCACCCAACCACCACCTATCCACCCACCCAACCACCACCTATCCACCCACCCAACCACCACCCACTTACCAACCCACACACCACCCACCCCCCATCCACCAACCCACCCACCAACCCACCCCCCTACCCCCCCCCCCCATCCACCACTCATCACCAACTCACCCACCAAACCACCCACTATCCATTCACCAACGAACCCACCCACCAACCCCCCCCCCCCCATCCACCACCCACCACCAACCCACAAACCCACCCACCCACAAACCCACCCACCCACTACCCACGTCTCGAGTTTCCTGATCTCCCGGTAGCACCGCGAAAGAATTCCACAGAGTCGAGGTCAGCGCATCCTGCACCGCCCTGCAGCCTCTGACGTTACAGACGGACCCAACAGCACCATGACCCACCACCCCCCCTGGGCGCTCCCGGCCCACCAAAGCCACCCACCCACCCACATCACCCCACAAACAGAACCAAAACAAAATAAGTCTCTACGCGCACGCACAGCCATTCTAATCGCTCGCTCGATCGACGGCAACGTTCTGGTGGATAGGGCCTCTCCGAGTTTCTAGGAGTGGAGAGGTTTGTTTGGCCTACCTCGTCCACCGCTGGTCAAGATGAAACCAACAAATAAAGTCAACTATGAGGGTTTTTTTTTCGTTTGGTTACCTATGAACTATACTTTTTATTGTGCCAGGTAAAGCCCCCACTGTTATGGTTATTTTTCAAAAGCGACCTGGCTATCGCAATTATAGCTTCAACGACGTGGGCGTGTCATCATCATAATCATAGTGTGGAAATTTACAGCAACAGTCAAATACTCTGAACGCGTGACGTCGATTCTAAATTTGGAGGGGGAAAAAAACGGAGGATGCGGAGAAAATCCACGCGATCACTGAGAGAGAGAGACACGCAAACTCCAAATATACAGCAGCAGGCGTCAGGGTCGGGATGGAACCCACGACCTTCTGCATACCAGGCGAGGTAGTTAACATCTCCTAGCCACCGTGATGATGATGAGAGAGAGACACACGCAAACTCCAAATATACAGCGGCAGGCGTCAGGGTCGGGATGGAACCCACGACCTTCTGCATACCAGGCGAGGGAGTTAACATCTCCTAGCCACCGTGGCTTGGGGAAAATTGTGGGAGTTACCCACGTGTTTGATCCCACCGCGGCTACGCAACCTGTCGATTGCAAACGAACTGGTTGTGATGGAATACGTGCCCACTTCTGGGTGGATTGAGTTAACGGCTGTGACGGTGGTGGTGGTGAAGATTTAAGCCGCTTGGAATGCTGCTTCAGCTGGGTTGGCGAACTGGGTCCTGGGTCTTGTCCCAGGGTCTGGGTGTGTCTCTCCCGCACAGCAGAATTCATAAAAAGCCAGCATAGTTGAGATAATGGGGGTTTGAGCTCTGGGTCTGGGCGTCTCTCTCTCAAATACACGGTTCGTAATGGCCATGTCGGAACCTCTGAACCAGCACAGCTGAGATCTTGGGGGTTTGAGCCCTGGGTCTGGGTGTCTCTCTCTAATACACGGTTTATAATGGCCATGTCAGAGACACTGAACCAGCACAGCTGAGATCTTGGGGGTTTGAGCCCTGGGTCTGGGTGTCTCTTTCTCTAATACACGGTTTATAATGGCCATGTCGGAGACTCTGAACCAGCACAGCTGAGATGTTGGGGGTTTGAACCCTGGGTCTGGGTGTCTCTCTCTAATACACGGTTTATAATGGCCATGTCAGAGACTCTGAACAAGCACAGCTGAGACCTTGGGGGTTTCAGCCCTGGGTCTGGGTGTCTCTCTCTAATACACGGTTTATAATGGCCATGTCGGAGACTCTGAACCAGCACAGCTGAGATCTTGGGGGTTTGAACCCTGGGTCTGGGTGTCTCTCTCTAATACACGGTTTATAATGGCCATGTCGGAGACTCTGAACCAGCACAGCTGAGATCTTGGGGGTTTCAGCCCTGGGTCTGGGTGTCTCTCTCTCTCTCTAATGCACGGTTTATAATGCCATGTCGGAGACTCTGAACCAGCACAGCTGAGATCTTGGGGGTTTGAACCCTGGGTCTGGGTGTCTCTCTCTAATACACGGTTTATAATGGCCATGTCGGAGACTCTGAACCAGCACAGCTGAGACCTTGGGGGTTTGAGCCCTGGGTCTGGATGTGTCTCCTCTCTCTCTTTCACACACAAACAGGGGGGTTCATGATGGGCGTGTGGGAGACGGCAGTAATTCAATTCGGAATTTAAAAAGTGCTCGCGTAGAACATCGCTGGCGCGCGTATTTGTGTGTGCGTGTGTGTGCGTGTGACTGTGTGTGTGTGCGGGTGTGAGCGTGTGTGAGTGCGTGTGTGTGAGGAGCGGTAGTGTAGCGGTTAGCGCGCTGTGCTACGAACCTGGCGACCCGAGTTCAATCCCCGATCACGGCCAATCCCGGTGACGATTATCTGAACCGGAACGGGGCCTCTCCCTAGGTCAACTCTGCCTGAAATGAGTACCTGGTGCGGTGTATAAAAACATCGCCACCGGGGAGATAAAGGCGGCCGGGCGTGGAACTGGCCACCCCACCCCCTCGTGTAACCTTGCCGGCCTTCGTAGGTGCTCGCGAACAGCACTTGCCCCAGAGTCCGTTGCAGGCTACACGGGGGATCTTTGTCTTTTGCCCTGTGGACTCACCCGGCGCTCTGGAGCTCACCATCGACCGCCGTCCCCTCGCCTCGCCTCCTCTCCTGCTGCGTGCGAGGCGAGAAACACACGGGGCACTGAGGTCAGCAGCTGAGTGCGGCAGGCGTGGGATGACAGTCATTGTCGTCGTCATCAACCAGCCAGGGTCAATCCACTGCTGGATGAAGATCTCATTGCCAAAGCCTCCTCCTCCACCTCCATCATCATCAACCAGCCAGGGTCAATCCACTGCTGGATTGAGGCCTCCTGCCCAAGCCTCCTCCACCTCCATCATCATCAACCAGCCAGGGTCAATCCACTGCTGGATTGAGGCCTCCTGCCCAAGCCTCCTCCTCCACCTCCATCATCATCAACCAGCCAGGGTCAATCCACTGCTGGATGAAGACCTCATTGCCAAAGCCTCCTCCTCCACCTCCATCATCATCAACCAGCCAGGGTCAATCCACTGCTGGATTGAGGCCTCCTGCCCAAGCCTCCTCCTCCACCTCCATCATCATCAACCAGCCAGGGTCAATCCATGTCCTTAGAACTGCAATATCCTTTAGTTTGCTGTCCTTACCCCGCACCTGCGAATGGGCGAGCTACAGCGCAAACAAGTTCAACGAACACACAAATCCCAGATTATCTCGGAACATGTGTTTATCATGCAGGTTTAAAGGGTTTATGTTTGGAGAGGGCGTGTTGGGTGGGAGGGGTGGCATGGAATCAGGGTAGTTGAACCAAAGATAACTTTGTTTATTTGAACAATCGCGGGTAAACAAAGAGAGCGACGTAAGAATCGGCGCCCGAGACGATGACCGGGGACGTCGACGCCGTCGTCCAAGGTCGACGACCGCTCTCGTCCACAGCCACCGCGGAGACGCACCCAGCCAGAGGGACCCATGGAGGCCCCAACACACACACACACACGTGGTGGTCACCCCAACACACACACACACGTGGTGGTGGTGGTGGTGGTGGTGGTCACCCCAACACACACACACACGTGGTGGTGGTGGTGGTGGTGGTGGTGGTCACCCCAACACACACACACACACGTGGTGGTCACCCCAACACACACACACACGTGGTCACCCCAACACACACACACACACACGTGGTGGTGGTGGTGGTGGTGGTCACCCCAACACACACACACACGTGGTGGTGGTGGTCACCCCAACACACACACACACACGTGGTGGTGGTGGTGGTGGTGGTGGTGGTCACCCCAACACACACACACACGTGGTGGTCACCCCAACACACACACACACACGTGGTAGTGGTGGTCACCCCAACACACACACACACACGTGGTGGTGGTGGTCACCCCAACACACACACGTGGTGGTGGTGGTGGTGGTGGTGGTCACCCCAACACACACACGTGGTGGTGGTGGTGGTCACCCCAACACACACACGTGGTGGTGGTGGTGGTGGTCACCCCAACACACACACACACGTGGTGGTGGTGGTGGTGGTGGTGGTCACCCCAACACACACACACACACGTGGTGGTCACCCCAACACACACACGCACACGTGGTCACCCCAACACACACACACACGTGGTGGTGGTGGTGGTGGTCACCCCAACACACACACACACACACACGTGGTGGTGGTGGTGGTCACCCCGACACACACACACACACACGTGGTGGTGGTGGTGGTGGTCACCCCAACACACACACACACACACGTGGTGGTGGTGGTGGTCACCCCAACACACACACACACACACACGTGGTGGTCACCCCAACACACACACACGTGGTGGTGGTGGTGGTGGTCACCCCAACACACACACACACACGTGGTGGTGGTCACCCCAACACACACACACACACGTGGTGGTGGTGGTCACCCCAACACACACACACACGTAGTGGTGGTGGTCACCCCAACACACACACACACACGTGGTGGTGGTGGTGGTGAATGGCACTTTGACAGAGGGTTTGGCGAGATCACCCTCGATGATTCTGCGTGCTACGCGGGTCGCCACTCTTACCCCCCCACCACTACCACCCACACCCCCCACCACCACCACCCCCCACCACTATCACCCACACCACCTTCCCCACCACCCCCCACCACCACCCCCCCACCACTACCACCCACACCACCTTCCACCCCCCCACCCCCCCGACACCCCCCAACCCCCCCCACCACTACCACCCACATCACCACCCACTGCCCCCCCCACCACCTCCCCTACACCCCCCCCAACCCGCCACGTCTTGCCCAGCCGCTTGAGAGGCGCTCTCTCGCGCGCGCCATCGGAGTTGTCGAAGCGCTTCGGTGTCAAATTGCGATTTAAAGCTTTCTATCTTCTTTGATTCTTTCGGTAAAGTCACGTAGAATGAGAATAAAATAATAAATTGATAAAATAAAATAACACAATAATAATATTCTCACGACGTTTCGGCGTGAGAATATTATTGTGTTATTTTATTTTATCAATTTATTATTTTATTCTCATTCTACGTGACTTTACCGAAAGAACCAAAGAAGATGAATCATTGCAGTCACGAAAGCTTTAAATCGAAGCTTTCTATCTATTTATTTACTTTATTACATCTAATTCCTATTATTTCATTTCCATTCCAAGTGACTTCACCGAAAGAACCAAGAAGACGCTTCGGTGTCGTTCGTGGCTACGCAACGTCGCCAATAAACCCTGGAGAGGGGACGCATGGGGATGGAGCATGCCGAAACTCTGCTGCGCTGTTCGCTCGGTGCAACACATCCGTCCGCAACCCCCCCCCCAACCCCCCCCCCCCCCCCCCCCCAGGGATGACAACATCTCCCACTCTGCCATGAACTCGGTAAAACTTGGCGCGCTTGGATTCCGAGCTGTCGACCAAGCGCGGGCTGTCGTGAGCTCACACGGCGCTCGAAAAAAAAATTGACAAAAAGACAAAGACACTACCCCCCCCCCCCCGTATCGCCTTTAACAGACTGTTGGGGCAAGTGCTGTAAGGGAGCACCATTGAAGGCCGGAACCGCACACGAGGTGGGTGGGTGGCCGGCACCGCACACACCGCACCAGGTAACTTATTTGTGGCTGAGTCGACCGAGGGGAGGCCCAGGACCGGTTCAGATAATCGTCACCGGTGTTGGCCGTGAGCGGGAATCGAACTCGGGTCGCCGGGTTCGTAGCGCAGCGTAGCGCTAACCGCTACACTACAGCTCCCCACTCACACGCTCACTCACTCAATTACTTCTCACACACTCACCCACATGGTCACACGCTCACTCATATGCTCACACGCTCACTCACACGCTCACTCACTCAATTACTTCCTCACACGCTAACCCACATGCTCACATGCTAACTCACATGCTCACTCACTGAATTACTGCCTCACACACTCACCCACATGCTCACACGCTAACTCACACGCTCACTCACTCACTCAATTACTTCCTCACACACTCACTCAGATGCTCACTCGCTCGCACACTCACTCGCTCGCTCGCACATTCATACACTCACGTGCCCACTCACTCGCTCGCTCGCACACTCACGTACTCACTCGCTCGCTCGGACACTCACACGCTCACTCACTCGCTCGGACACTCACACGCTCACTCACTCATTCGCTCGCACACTCACACGCTCACTCACTCGCTCGAACATTCACTCACTCGCTCAGACACTCACACGCTCACTCGCGTGCTCACTCATTAGCTCACAAAAACCTGTGGGAGTTAGCTGGGGGAGTTGACGTACCTGGTCGTGCTGGAAGTCGTCACGCGGCATGCTGGACATCGCTCTGCAACGACAAAGGAAACCGGGGCATCGTTAGACCCCCTGAGCGTCGTTAGTCCCCCTGACAGACTTAAATGACTCTGACAACTCTAACAATCAAAGGCAAAATGCGTTGTTCCACAGTGGCAATCGCCATCAACTCACCAACCCACGCACCCACTCATCCACTTACTTTCTCACGAACTCACCCACTCACTCACTCACTCACCCACCCACTCACCCACTCACTCACCAACTCACCCACTCATCCACTTACTTTCTCACGAACTCACCCACTCACTCACTCACCCACCCACTCACTCACTCACCAACTCACCCACTCATCCACTCACTTTCTCACGCACTCACTCACTCACCCACCCACCAACTTACCAATTCACTCACCCAGTCATCCACTCACTTTCTCACGCACTCACTCACTCACCCACCCACCAACCCACTCATCCACTCACCCACTCACTTTCTCACGCACTAACCCAATCAATCACCCACCCACCTACCAACTCACCAACCCACTCACTCACTCACTTTCTCACGCACTAACCCACTCACTCACCCACCCACCAACTCACTAAACCACTCACTCACTCACCCACTCACTTTCCCACGCACTCACCCACTCACCCACCCACCAACTCACTAACCCACTCACCCACTCACTTTCTCACGCACTCAACCACTCACTCACTCACTCACCAATTCACCAACCCACTCACCCACTCACCAAGTCACTTTCTCCCGCACTAACCCACTCACCCACCAACGCACCCACTAACTAACCAACCCACTCACCCACTCATCCACTCACTTTCTCATGCACTCACACACTCATTCACTCACCCACCCACACACTCACCAACCAACTCACCCACTCACTTTCTCATGCACTAACCCACTCACTCACCAACCCACCAATTCACCAACCCACTCACTTTCTCACGCACTCACCCTCTCACTCACTCACTCACCCACCCACCAACCCACCAACCCACTCACCCACCCACTCACTTTCTCATCCACTCACCCACCCACCAATTCACTAACCTACTCACCCACTCACTTTCTCATGCACTCACCTCCTCACTCACCCACCAAGCCACCAACCCACTCACCCACTCACCCACTCACTTTCTCACACACTAACCCACTCACCCACCAACCTACCAACTCACCAACCTACTCACTCACTTTCTCACGCACTAACCCACTCACTCACCCACCCACCAACTCACTAACCCACTCACCCACTCACTTTCTCACGCACTCACCCACTCACCCACCCACCCACCAACTCACTAACCCACTCACCCACTCACTTTCTCACGCACTCACCTACTCACTCACTCACTCACCCACCCACCAACTCACCAACCCACTCACCCACTCACCCACTCACTTTCTCATGCACTAACCCACTCACTCACCAACCCACCAACTCACCAACCCACTCACTTTCTCACGCACTCACCCTCTCACTCACTCACTCACCCACCCACCCACCAACTCACCAACCCACTCACCCATCCACTCACTTTCTCATGCACTCACCCACTCACTCACCCACTCACCCACCCACCAACCCACCAACCCACTCACCCATCTGCTCACTTCTCAAATACTCACCCACTCACTCACCCACCCACCAACCCACCAACCCACTCACCCACCCACTCACTTTCTCATCCACTCACTCATCCACCCACCAACCCACTCACCCACCCACCCACCTGCTCACTTTCTCATGTACTCACCCAATCACTCACCAACTCACCAACCCACTCGCCCACTCACCCACTTACTTTCTCACGCACTCACCCACTCACTTACTCACCCACCCACCAACTCACCAACCCACCCACCCACTCACAAACTCACCAACCCACTCACCCACCCACCCACTCGATCTCCAAACCAAATTACCACCCCACCCCGCAGCGCTGCGATTGACATTTTAACAGAACACAAACAGATTTCGCAAATCTAATCTTTGCTATCCCCCACGCAGGCACTCACTCACCCACTCACCCACTCTCTTTCTCACGCACTAACCCCCTCCCCCACCCACCCACCTACCAACTCACCAACCCACTCACCCATTCATCCACTCACTTTCTCACTCACTCACACACTCACTCACCCACCCACACACTCACAAACCCACTCACCCACTCATTTTCTCACGCACTAACCCACTCACTTACCCACGCACTAACTCACCAACCCACTCACTTTCTCACGCACTCACCCTTTCACTCACTCACTCACCCAGCCACCAACTCACCAACCCACTTACCCACCCACCCACTGCTCACTTTCTAATGTACTCACCCACTCACTCACCCACCCAACCACCCACTAACTCACCAACCCACTCACCAATCCACTCACTTTCTCACGCACCCACCCACTCACTCATCCACCCACCAACTCACCAACCCACTTACCCACCCACTCACTTTCTCATCCACTCACTCACCCACCCACGTGCTCACTATTTCATACACTCAACAACAACAACCGCCATTCGCCACTAAGTGGCGGTGATATCACCACGACGCTTGTGCCAGTCCATGTGTACCTTGAGGCCACGTGAAGTGTCGAACGCCCGCTGGCAGGGGGTCATGGGGCAGACCCAGGTGCCACGGGTCGACTGACTGAGATGACTGGCTGATGCACCACCTGTGCCCCCTACTGTGCCAACCTGCTGTGCTTTAGCCACCCGGCGCTCCGCTCGTTGTTGTGAGCGTCGCTCCTCCGCCCTCCGTTGTTGTTGGAGGGCGACTGCCTCCAACTGCCCAGTAGCGTCCTTCACGAGCCTCCTCCAAAGAGGCCAATCTTGACACCGCTGGTACCAGTCATCGGCAAGTCCACTCAGCTCCACATCCTCCTGTACCACATCACTCCATCTCTTCTCTAGCCTGTGCCGCGCCCGTTTAGCCCCCTCGATCCGGCCGAACAAAAGCTGTTTCGGCATGCGGTGGCTGGGCATGCGGGCTAAATGACCCAGCCAACGCAGCCTTATCTGCCGGAGGAGCTCACCGATGGGACCTTGCCCAGATCTTTCAAGGATTTGTGCGCTCCTCACACAATCCAGCCTGGTTAAACCCAGGATGGATTGTAGTCAGGCTAGCCTAAATGTTTCTAACCGGCGAAGATGTTCCATTAAGGGGGTCTACTCACCCACGCACTCACCCACCCACCAACTCACTAACCCACTCACTCACCCACTCACTTTCTCACGCACTCACCCACTCACTCACCCACCTACCAACTCACCAACCCACTCATCCATCCACTCACTTTCTCACGCACTCACCCAATTACTCACCCACCCACCAACTCACCAACCCACTCACCCACCCACTCACTTTCTCATCCACTCACCCACCAACCCACCAACCCACCAACCCACCTGCTCACTTTCTCATACACTCACCCACTCACTCACCCACCCACCAACTCACCAACCCACTCACCCACCCACAAACTCACCAACCCACTCAACCACCCACCCACTCACTCAATCTCCTAACCAAAATTACCTCTGCGCAGACGACGACGCGTTCAGACGCCCACCCCACCCCACAACGCTGCGATTGACATTTAAACAGAACACAAACAGATTTCGCAAATCGAATCTTTCTACCCCGCACGCACCCACACACAAAGACAAATATCCCCCGCTGCAGGTGTAGCCTTGAGAGACGTGTTGGGGTAAGTGCTGTGAGTAGCAGCAGCACCCGATGAAGGCCGGCAAACTGTAGCACACGAAGGGGTTTCGATCCCGACCCTGACGCCTGCTGCTGTATATTTGGAGTTTGCGTTTCTCTCTCATCATCATCACGGTGGCTAGGAGATGTTAACTACCTCGCCTGGTATACAGGAGGTCGTGGGTGCGATCCCGACCCTGACGCCTGCTGCTGTATATTTGGAGTTTGTGTGTCTCTCTCATCATCATCACGGTGGCTAGGAGATGTTAACTACCTCGCCTGGTATACAGGAGGTCGTGGGTGCGATCCCGACCCTGACGCCTGCTGCTGTATATTTGGAGTTTGCGTGTCTCTCTTTCTCATCATCATCACGGTGGCTAGGAGATGTTAACTACCTCGCCTGGTACACAGGAGGTTCGTGGGTTCGATCCCGACCCTGCCGCCTGCTGCTGCTGTATATTTAAGAGTTTGCGTGTCTCTCTCTCCGTGCTCGCGTGAATTTTTCTCCGGGTCCTCCGGTTTTCCCCCTCTACATTTAGTATCGACGTCATGCGTTTTGAGTATGCGGCTGATAGAAATGTCCACATGATAAGCCCACTTCCTCGAGCTATTATTTGTTACAGCCATGTCGCTTCGGCAAAAGAGTTACAGAGCTCAGTGGCCTATACCTGGTAAAAATAAAATAAAAGTTTAGTTTATAGGTTGAGAGCAGACGGTCTGGACCCCCAAAAACACGAAGAATAACCCAGAACTCTGGCCTATTGATGATATCATAGGCCTTCGCCAGGTCAACAAATCCGAGATGGAGGGCCTTTGGGAATGCCCTACACCTCCGCTGTAACATGCTAACAGAAAAATTGCTGTGCGTGCAGGACCGTCCTGGTCGAAACCACAGTGGTTTCACTCACTCACTCACCCAATCACTCACTCACTATATTAGCAGGGTTGTCTACGTACGGTGTGAAAGAAGTTCAACGTACATATTAAACGACAATAGAGCCTGCATGCGGCGTGAGCGGACTAGTGGCCACGGGAGGTAACGGCAGGGGAGTCAGCCTACAGTGTTAGCGGACTAGTAGCCACGGGACGTAATGACAGGGGAGTCAGCCTACAGTGTTAGTGGACTAGTGGCCACGGGAGGTAACGACAGGGGAGTCAGCCTACAGTGTTAGTGGACTAGTGGCCACGGGAGGTAATGGCAGGGGAGTCAGCCTACAGTGTTAGTGGACTAGTGGCCACGGGAGGTAACGGCAGGGGAGTCAGCCTACAGTGTTAGTGGACTAGTGGCCACGGG